TTTGTTTCTTACTTGGAATGTCATTCTCGGCGTCGCAATTTATTACGTAAGGGCTTCTAAACGTATATAAATCCAATTACAAAGTGAACCAACAATTTTACATAACATATGTACTTACGACTGTGTTCCATTTCTGGAACGTAACGCTTCGTTTGCGTAAGTTTTAGTTAATGCGCCAAATATAGACAACCCTTCGTCGTCGACGATGCCCGCCTCTAAATTGTTCAGCTCCACAACTTTTTGTACAATCAATACCACTTGGCAATCCTCTGGTTCTTTGTTGAGACAATTTGTTGATAATCAATTTTTTGTTTGGTTAGTATTGTGGTCTGCTCTAACGTAAAAACGAGGTAAAAATAAAACAAATGCAAACAAAATCTTAGCATAATTTCTGAAAACTTCTTTTCGCCGTCATGCTATATTTTCACTTCGTAAACTCGTCAAATTTAGCTCCCTCGTTAGCTGCTCCCACAAGCTATTCAGCTCTTGATATATTTAGGCAGTGCTTTGGTTTATATTTTTGGCCAACCTTGGCTGGTATACGATGAAAGACTGCGCTGTCTCGATTTGCTCTTTTGTAATTGACCTGCAAGTACCAATGATTACTGAAAAGTATTTATACAAATGGCTGAATTGGAAATGGCTTTTTTTTTTTTTATTCGCTTGGTTTTTCCCCTTCGCCCCCCTCCTGGTAGTTTCGTTGTCTTGGCTTGTTGCTAGAGTCCTTGAATTGAGGCCTTGGGTTTATATGCCGGTGGTCGTTGGAAGTTTGTATTTGTTAAATAAAGAAGATCCTCTTGTATGCACACAGATGCGATGTTTATATGATGGGGCTTGGTAACATTTGCGCCACCAAAACGACATCTTTTGTGATCGATGATAAGTGTTAATGCTGCTGACAATGATATTTCTTTAAACTTAGTTAACTTTTCCCTTTTTCAAAATCTTGTAGCTAAATAAATTCCACTTTCATTTGCAAGAATTATACCAAATTTCGGGAAAGGAATATAATCATTTCCAAATTTCACTTATAGTTCTTGATTTTTATATTTTCGTTCTTTTTTCTTTTTTTTTTGTATTCGTTTATTTGACATTGGCTTGACCTTTTCATGGGGAGATTTTTCCCGAATTATTTTCACATTACTGTACAGGCAGGGATTTTGCACATTAGAAAAGCTCGCGAATGTACTCTAGGACCCTTTTGCGATATGTCTCTTTCTGCCGGTCCTTTTTAATAGCTTCCAGCGATCTCGTTGGAAATAGAGGTGCTAAAGCCTTGTTCAAAAAGCGAGTGCCGTTTGCTGTTAGAGCTTCCTCTTCCTCGCTCCATCTTTGCTTGACATTAGTCCGAGCTTTGTTCTGGTCGTGCTCATCGGGATGAGTACGTCTCATATGAATTCCCACGCTTGTCTTCGCGGTAAAGGTTCTTCCGCATATTCGACAAGGAATAGCAGAGTCAATCAGAGAGGGATTCTGATTTGGATTATTATAATTGTGGGATTTTGAATTATATTTCGTTAAGCACGAGAGGGTTGTCGGACAGATTTTACTAGTTAAGTGTGAGCAGACAGGCTGCTCATCATCTGTTATTGTATTCTGGCTATTGGGTAGCCTGTTTTGTAATCGAGTGTTATCAGAATCCCTAGGGATAGGTTTAGATGGAGAGGGAGAAATAAAAATAGAAGCGAAAAGTTGGGGGTCTTTGCCAGAGGACGAAGACCTTGTTTGTCTTCATTCATTTTTTCTTATTTTTGCGAACCAACTTATTGAAGAACAAGGGGAGAGCCAACCCCCAGGAACTTTTAAGCCTATCCCTAGTATATCAGTAAATTTTTATTTTTATTTACAACTTTAATTTTAATTCCATCCTTTACCCGCAGGCATACATGGCTATTGTGAGCGAGTTTATCCATTTAAAGTACCCTTGGTCGGTTGTAAGAATTCACAGTTTATTCACTATCTTCCATAAAATCCATAAAATCACACTTCCGCGAGCGCGTCGTCGCTTCTACTTAGCTTTACTATTATGAACGGTTTAGTTATATTAATTCGAAAAATTATATATGAATTATTAAATAACGCAGTTGCAAATTCAACATATTTGAACTCGAATTTATATTTCCCTATTTCATTGTTAGTTGCAGACTAGGAGAGAAGATATTTCAGGTCTGTAGAATGGTTCGGATCGATTGCATTTTCTGGTGCATACTGTTTTGAATTGATTCCATGTTAGGCTCAAACTTTAAATAAGTTAGACTATCAAACAATTTTTTTCCAGAAATGAATCCATTGGTCCTTGGAGAAGAACTAATGCTGCTGTGAAGAGTAATTAGAATATGGTGACTACTATACTATAGGAGAGCTTCTCTCCTAACTCCCCATTGAAAAGTAATATTGTTTGAACTTGAGAAAGTTAGATTCAAAGCACTACCAGGCGCGTAAGGGTCATTAGAGTGAAGCAAGGATAGCATGGTTTTATTAAGACAAAAGAAACTACTATGACTCATTATGTCACGGAGTGTTTTGCCCCTGTTGTTCGAGACTGTGTCTCCAAAAAGTGAATGTCTCGAGCTAAAATTTCCAGCAAGAATTACGTTTTGTAAAGCTTCAAGAAAGTTACAAAGTCGTTGCGTTTCATCAGAAAAAATCGGAATAAAAATGTTTGGTTTGAAGTAACATGAAGTAGGATGGTTATCACAAGTTAAAGCTTGAGAGACGAAGTTTCCTTTTTTAATAAATTCCGTAAACGTCAACACGACATTTATGTACCGAATTATAGTTTGCAACTTTCAAATCAGACATACTGTCGTCGGATAAGAAAATCTCACTAAGGAATGCAAAGTCTATACTATTGGAGTTAAGATAAAAACCCAGAGAGTGGACATTGCGCCTGAAACTTTGGATGTTGTATAGCAGGAAGGACATCATTTATACTTGGGGGAGGGTTATATATACGAATTAGATGCATCTTGTAGAAATGTATCATATAGATGATTTAAGGGCGGATGTTTTAATAGGAAGATTTCTGAGATGGTCTTCTGTGAGTTTTAAAGAGAACATATTGAAAATGTTGTCCAGAAGTTTCACCATTTCGATGGATTTATGATTGCTGTCGAAGGTTACATGTTTAGGAAGAATAACGGATTAACTTATTGATCTATAAGCTAATGTAAGAGAGATGGTTTGCGGTTTCGAAGTATTAGCCTGTGTGGGCTGAGGGAGATTTGACTGTTGCTTAGCTACGTGGTCAAAATTATTTTTGGTTAATATGTCGTTCTTGCGTTGTTCGAGATAGAGTTACTATTTATGGCTGGAAAATTTTCTTCATAGTCATTGTTGAGGCACTCAGTAGGGTCTACAGCATATTTCTTTTTGTACTGGCAGAAGGAGGTATTTGGAATGGCCATTACTTTTTTAATTTCTTCCTGCTTCCTTTTCGGACAGCCTCTATTACGAAGGTTACGATCAGACGCACCGCAGGATAATCATTTGGCTTGTGCCCAGTTACCATGTAAGCATGCTAAATATTTACCACAGCTTAGACTGCGGGCTTCTTTACTCTTGCAGAATTTGGCAATGTGACAAAATCTGCCGCATTTGGAGCATAGTTTAAGATACGGTATAAAATAACCTACTAGGAGATTACAGTAATTCAATTTGATGGTTTTATGGATTTCGTTTCTTCTAAAGCCAATATTAATTCTGCTAGTGGAGATGAAATTATTGTTGTCGGAGAGTTCTCGGCAATATAGTCTAGTGATTGACATTATTTTATTTTCAGACTCCGCGTTATATGAAATACCATTTTTTTTGATATCTATAACATTCTAAATGAACTTCTCTTTGAAGATGCCACTGTGGTTTCAGCTTAAATGAAAAGGCTGATACCCATGTGCATGAAGCTCAATTTCACTACTATCTTCCCAATGATGCATGATACAAGAATGGATATTGCGTGACTTTTCTGTGGAATGGAACACTCAAATCTTCTGATTTTTCTTTTATCTTTTTTTCTTCGATTATCTTAATGAATATAATATATGCAGCCTTAACTTATAATTCTATTTTCCGGGAAATTTATTCGGAATTTGACGGTGCTATACTGACTACCTGTACATCTTTTTTGCTGAACAAAGGAAATCTCATGTACCAAACATCTGGTCCTCCAGCCGAAGTTCACTCAACTACTACTTTTAATCTCATAACCAATGGGACAATGCATCAGAAAAATTCCTTCATCTCACATCAGTGGTGTATAAGCCTCTCAATCTACAGACTTCGTCCATTTCTCTCTTACAAATCAAAAAAGACAAAAATTCATTTGATGTTCGTAGTAAAATTCTTTTAAAGTCTTCAATCCAGTTAGCAATTTTCTCCTTTGTCTATTTAATACCTCATGTCTTTTGCGTTTAAGTGGAATTATTGCTGTGGGCAGAGAGATTCTGAACCTTTCCTTTGAATAAAAGTAGTTTCATTTTGGCTTTATCCGAATTGACCTACATAATCCTGATGTAAGTCTGTCTTTTGAAAGTTATTTATTTCAGTATTATCTACTTCTGTTAGTGCGTACCGGTCTTGCTCAGGTCG